CTTATCCAGGTTTAAATAGAAGTCAGGAAATTCCACCCCATTTCCCCATCTCTGGCATTAGGAAAGGGTGGTGGGTTCACTCAGTTATGGAAAGCATAGTGCTTGCTCTAGCAGAATTTTTTGCTGTGCGTGCTCATGTAGACATTTCCAAATTGTGATCTCTGACAGAGCCAAGAGTAAAGAAAAGCTAAACAGGGCAGATTAGAGGTATGCCTTTCATACATGGCCAGTGCCTGATAGCCTTGGATCAAGTCAAAAGCTACATTTCCTGGCACAAACTAAAACCATATTTCATAAACTTATGGAAAATAAAAACCTAATTAGGAGCATTTGGTGAGGTAGACCTTGAATATGATGTCTTTTTATACCTTGAAAAATAGAGTGTTTTCTTCTGTCCCTTTCAGTCCTTTGTTTGATCATTTACTAAATATTTGTCCTACTATAAAAGTTTCCCTCCCTACCTTTGCCTCCCCTGCCAAAAGTCAATAAAAATTAGAAGCAGGCATGGTCACAAACAAAGTACTATATTAAGAAATCTAAAAGAATGATGAAACCTACAGATATGATTTGTTGTACTTGTTTTGTTAGGATGAGAGAAGGAAAAGAATATGGAGAAGAGAGATACCAAATACACTTTTAAAAGTATAGACCGAAAAAGAGTTGATTCCTTTGAAATGCAATGATGGCAAAGAATACTGAAAATATCATAGACTGACAGAAGTACAAACAAATCTGTCCCAGAGGAAGTGCAGCCGGAATGCTCTTTGGAAACGAGAATGGCCAGACTTCATCTCACATACTTTGATCACGTCAGAAGGGCCCATTCCCTGGAGAAGGATGTCATGCTTGGTAAAGTGGAGGGTCAGTGAAAAAGGGGAAAGACCCTCAATGAGATGGACTCACACAGTGGCTCCAGCGATGGGCTTAGGTATAGCAAGGATTGTGAGGATGGTGCACGACTGGGTAGTGTTTTGTTATGTTGTACAAAGGGTCACTATGAGTCTGAACCAACTCAACAGCACCTAACAAGAACAACAACAGAAATGGGAGGGAAAATTACTAACTAGGTAGATAGGTATTAATTTAAGTGAAGGGAAAGGCAATATACAAAAACTGACAACTAGCACAAAATCACTAACGAAAAGGAAGACATGGAAAAGTACACAAGAGTTAAACACAACAAAAGAAAACACTATTACATACACAATACTGCATTATCAGTAATAACAAACATTAATCTATGAGTATCAGATACATAGGTAGACTGGAAAGATGAGCAGCAAATGGTAGGTGAATGGAATTATATTCATGGCCATATATTTGTTTGGCAGATAATATTCCTACATATGTATTTATTGTATGTGATGTAAAAATGTCTATATATATATATATATATATATATAAAATATACACACACACATACATACATATATGTACACATATATACATATATATTTATATAAGAGCTAATGGGGGGCAAAGTTATGAAACCTTTTTCGACATAACCAAACATCTCGAGGGAGTTAGTTGCCGGGCTCAGGACCAAAGTTGCAGGGGACCATCAAAGTCAATTGACATAACAGAGTCCACAAAGATAATTTCTATACCCTACTTTGGTGAGCAGCAACTGTGGTCTTAAAAACTTGGGAGCAGCCATCTAAGATACAACTATTGATCTCTTCTCATGTGGAGCAAAGAAGGAGGAAGAAAATAAAAAATGCATGGAAATAATTAATTCAAGGGACTAGTGGACCATGTGAGCCTCAGCCTCCATGACACTGAAATCAGAACCAGATGGTATCCAGCTGTCACTGTCAACCACTCTGAAAGGGATCACATTAGGAGATCCTGAATAGAGTGGGGGGAAAAAAAAAAAAAAAACTCAATAAAAAACAAAAGATCAGGCTTACTGATCTGATAAAGACTGGTGGGATGCCTGAGACTATGGCTTAGTTACCCATCAAGCTTGGAAATGAATTCATTACCAGGGCTCAACTTGAAGTCAAACAACACACAGACCTATGAGGTAAACAGTTACACCACGGAGGTATGCACTCATTAGAACAATCAACCGTAAGAGATCAAAAGGGCAGCATTTGCCCAGGTATAAAACTTAGACAGCAGGAACAGACAGGAAAGAAGGACAAAGGGAAATGGCAACCATGGGGAGGAGGTGGGAAGAGTGCTGTTTCATTGTGGAGACTGTAATCAATGTCACAAAATAAAATGCGTATCAACTATTAAATGGAAAACGAATTTGCTCTGTAAACTTTCACTAAATCACACACAAAAAAAATTAAAAATTAATTAATTAAATAAAAACTCTTCCCCTATACTGACATTCCACTATTAATCACTCCTCCCTTTATATTACCTGTTCCTTGTACATATGCTTGTCAACTAGACTTTTCATTTATTTGTTTATATTACTGCTAGAGGTTTCAATTTGTGGTTTACATATGAGCTTCTCATAGATAAAGACAATGTCCTCAACATCTCTTGTGTTTCTCTAGTAGAGAGTTCCACAGTAGACATTCATTCAACCAACAATCATCCATTTTTCATACCAAGTTCTGTTCTAGGCACTGAGATCATATAGTTAACAAAACAGAGAAAAATTTCTACACTAGTAGAGTATAAATATACAATAAACAAATAATAAGCAAAATACATTAATGTTCTATTGAAGAAAATGCAGGGAAGTCACACAGAGAGAATGTGTGTGTGCATGGCATGCACGTGTTCTTGTGTGTGTTTGCACATATGCCAAGGAGATTATCTGAGGGAAGAGTATTTCCTAGCAAAGAGAACTGTAATTGCAAAGGTGCTAAGGTGGGCATGTATCTGGCTATCTGCAACAGCCACAGGACAAGGAAGGAAGTATGACAAGAGCAGAATGAGCAAAAGGGAGAGTTGTTGCTGTTGTTAGGAGCTACTGAGTTGAATGTCAACTCAGAAACCCCACAGCACAGAGAAGAACTGCCCCATAGGGTTTTCTAGGCTGCAAGTATTACAGGAGCAGATTGCCAGGTCTTTAGTCCCATGGAACCTCTGGTAGGTTTGAATCTTTAGGTTAGCAGCCCAGTGTTTAACCATTTCACCACCAGAGTTCCCTAAAAGGAAGAGTGGTAGGGCATAAAATACAAATGTAAGAAAAATATGGGTCATGTGGAAGTGCAAACTATGGATGGTCTTGTAGGCTATCATGGTTTTCCCTCTGAGTAAAACCAGATGTCACTGGATGGTTCTGAACAAAAGAGTGATAAGATCCAGCTTATGATGTAATAGAATCATCCAGGCACTGACTTGAGAAGAGATTTAAGTAAGAACTGATAGAAGCAAGGAGGTCAATTAGGAGGATACTGAAATAACCCAAGGAAAAGATGATGGTGTCTCGGACCAAAAGGATAGTAGAGAACGTATAGGAAGTGATAGGATTCTGGATACATTTTGAAAATAGAGATAACTGAACTTGGATATGGGATTTAACAGAAAAAGAAGAGTCGGGGATGAGCAGTGACCTGGGATTGAAGGATGTCTAGGGCCTGCAAGATAAAGAAACCATTCACTGAGACAGGGAAGATTATGGGAGGAGAAGGCTTTCAGGGAACTTTAGTACTTAAGTGTGAGAAGTCTATTAAATATTTTAATGGTACTATTGAATTGGCAGTTGGATATATGGATCTGGAATTCAGAAGAGACCAGCATATGAAAAATATTTAAAAGTCTGATACTGAATGAAATCATCACCGAAGTGAGCACAGACAGGAAAGAAAGAAGATCAAAAGACTTCCTCCTGGGCTCTCCAAGATATCTAACTGATGAGCAAGAAGGAGCTCTGGTAGCCTAGTGCCTAAGGCTCAAACCCACCAGCCACTCCTCAGAAGTAAGGTTGGGCAATCTACTTCCATAGTGATACTGCCTTGGAAACCCAAAGAGGGGTCACTATGAGTTGGCTCAACTTGATGGCACATGACAACAGCAGCAGCAGCTAGTGAAACAGAAAGAAAATGAGGAAAGTGTAGCTTCCAGAAGACGAGGCATTTCAAAGAAGATAGAGAAGCCTACCCTGTCAATTATTGCTGAAGGTCAAGTAAGATAAGGACTGAGAATTCACCCCTGGATTTAGTAATAAGATCTTGACATGACTGGTTTTGGTGAGTGGGAGAGGGGATAAACTATAAATGGAGTAGGTTCAAGAGAGTGAGAGAGAGCAAGTATATACCATTCTTTGAAATTTTCTGCGGAGAAAAGGAGAAAAATGAGAAAGTAGCTAGAGGGAAATGTGAGGTTTAGTTTTTGTTTGTTTGTTTTAAGGGAGAAAGAAATGGTTTTTTATGCTGATGGAGTTTCCAATGGAGCAGGAAAAAAAATGATAAAAAGAGAGGGAAGCATTATTACAAGGATGTCTGGGTAAGCTGAATAGGGTGGGGATGGGCAAAGGATCTCACACTCATGTGTGTGGATTGGCTATTTCTAGGGACATAGGAATAGAAGAAAAAACATGCAAGTGAATATAGGTGTGGTGGGGGGAACTCTTGAAAGTTCTCCTCTGTTTGCTTCTACTGTTTCAATGATAGAAAAAGCACATTTTTCAGGAGAGAGATGAGGAGGGGGTGTTAGAGGTTTGAGCAAAGAAAAGATGGTCTGAAAGCCTTTAAAAGATTTGAAAAATGAATGGAAAAGGCATATTCAGTATGCTTGCTGGACAGAAAAAAAGAGTCCATTTGGTCATGCACATAGGATGAGACTGGTTTGCATGGCTATGGCCAAGTGGATGCAGATGTAGGAAGAGAGTGAGCTAGGTTATCCACAGCTGGGGATGTCCTCAGCAAATATGGCTAATATTTAACAAATAAGGTTGAACTGAATGAAATTTATTTCCAGTCACTATATATACTTCAGAGGGTAGTTTTCTCTGGAGATCATATGCCTGTCCCACCAGGATTTTGCCATTTTCAAGATGAAATCCACAAAACCCAGTATTCTGAAATACTCACCGCCCTTCAAATCTGTGTTTTAAAAAATCAAACAAAGCTTTCTGCATCATATCCGTCACCTGAAATTGAGCAAGCAATAGATTAGAATATGACAAAAATATTACTAATTATGATCAGAGAAATTTCACTCCTACTAGGAATGCGTGAAAACTTGGGATTCATGTTTGGAAAAAGTAATAGGGGAAGTTGCTACATTTCTCTGTTTCTGAGTCCCAATAAAATGAAAACAGTTTTGAAAAGTGCTCTGAACTTAGATGCTGTTTAAAGACAATAGATTACATTGGAAGTGGTTTCCATGACCATCCACTTGGTGCTACTTCCCTGATCAAATATGATGTCGCTAGCCAAAATCTCTAAAGCAACAGGTGGAAAAACAAAACACTAAGCAATGTACGCTACAGCTTGAAAAACAACATGTAGCTTGCTGCTACAAGCTCTGTAAGTTCTAAATTCAAGGGTTGGGAGAGGGAGGTAGAGTTATGAGATCAACAAGTGAAGGCAAAGTGTGCAAAGAGGGCAAATACTCACCTCATATCCCTTCAGGGAAGGGCCCACAAGAACTACTGGTCGCATAGAAGGCACCACATCATAAGGAGGAGTGTGCTCTGTCTGCAGAAAGAGGACAGACAGGAGGTCAGATGCTCAACAGGCAGAGAGAAGGAACCTATTTCATGTATAAGGTTCTAATTTCTGCACTCTGTGATACAAGGCATTGGCTTTCCAGGTCCCCCTCCTTTTCTTTTTATTTGGCTCTTTTCTAAATAAACCCCAAAATCAATGGGTTTATTTTCCTAAGGCTTCCAAGTTACTGAGTTGTCTACTGTTTTCTTGCCCTACTCAAAAATGCTTTGACATCTTAGTTCTAAAAGCAGGAGGTGTGATTTTGAACAAAAACTGGTTGGTGGAACAGACAGAAAAATGTCTCATGCAGAATAGGTGCTTTAGGCTTGATGACAAGTGAATATTTCTTTTCAGATTCATTTGAGTTTTCTGAAGAATCAAAATGATCATACTTAACAAGTTTAATTAAAGAGGAAAGAAAGGTTTTTTTTTAAATCACCTCTGTATCTTAGACATTTTTCTTACCTGCATAAAATCTAATTTCAAAATATTAAAACTTCCACTACCAAATATTTGGCAAATTCAATTTTACTGTGAGATTCTAAATTAATATATAATAGATTTAAATTACCATACATACTTGCTCCACTAACCATTAATCATAATCACTCTTATTCATATCTTATTAATTAATGCTTTTGGATTTTTGGTATCTATACCTCAGTATTTAAAAATTCAAATTGCACATTTATGTGTCTTGGGGGAGAGTGGTTAATGTATGATGATACATTCAATCAGGCCTCGGTGGTGGCCTCAAAAAATTTATTACCAACTTCCATATCTTAATATGCGTCCCAGGATATTTTTAGGTAGTATTTCTGTTATATAAATAAATTATATCTTTCTATACTAATTTCATTTTTTTTTTTTGGATGAGTAGAGGGAGGAGCTAATTTTGGCAGTGATGTCTAAAAGTATTTCAAATATTTCCAGCTTAAATTATTAAAAATTTCTCCAAAAAATTAGATAACAGCCAAGTTGCTTGATATATTATAATCAGCTATTTCAATAGCAAGGAAGGTTAAATTGACCCCCAAAGTGGCCTTTATTTTAAACTCAGGAGAGAGAGATATATGGTCTTAGATACTGGAAAAAATCTAGATCATTGATATATGACTATTTGTACATTAAAGAGTATCTGAAAAAAACACATTTTTAAAATCATTCGGACCAAAAAAAAAAAGCTTTACACTATTGTAAGAATTTATTTGATAAAGTGATGTATAAGTTTGAATCTATTTTTTGCATTGGGCTCTTGCTCAAGAGCTTAAAATTGCTCATTACAAACTTTCTGGCTTTGATTTTTAAGTTGCTTCAGGGGGGAATTAAAAAGCATTTCAAATTCAGAAGCTTCCTCTATCAATGATTTTGCCAATAGCCATAGACAATATAATCAGAAGGTAGAAAATACTATTGTGACTGTGCTGTCAAATTTTACTGCTTAAAGCTTTACCTAATGTTCAAAATTAATTTGAATAGATACAATAAAGGTAGAATACAGGTTCTGAACAGAAAATTAAAAACAAGACAGACAGAATACAGTGACAATACAAACACCACACAAGCACCACTCTAAAGCAATCTAAAACATGGAAAACAATCCCATCATTGAATCTCAGGCTCTTTTTTTGTTTATGACCTCTACATTGAAGTTCACCACATTATCGATAACATAAGAAGAATGAATACCAGTGCCGGAGGCATCATAAGCATATTTATTAAAATATTATATTCATACCACCTGGGATCATTCTGACAATGATTAGAAGCCAAGTCTTTGTAACTATGCAGGGTTAAGAATACCTTTTCCACTATTGTAATTAGGAATGTAAATAGTTTGATGCATGCATTTTAGTAACAGCTACTAAGAAAATTTATTTTATATCTTTAAGTATCAAGTGGCTCAGTACTGGATAGGCCTTTGGTTCCTTCAATCTGTTAATGTCAAACTAGCAAAGGGTTACCCATGCTGGTAATCAACCATCTTCTTAATCAACAGGGTAGCTACAGAAATTACCTTATTTGATGGAATATTGGTACTTTGTGGCCTATTTGAAAATGACAAAGACATTTTTATCTGCTTTTTTCAGCTAAAGCCATTTTGGTCCAATTCTTTAGTGAGAAAAAAAAAAAAAAAACCGTGATGAAATATACATTTTAAAAAGTTTTGAAAGGGTAAGCTAGAAACTATCTTGAATATACATAGTGGTTTTAGTTCATGTTACTGCTCTGTAAAAGTCCAGAGAGGCTTAGAGATGCTTATTTCTGAGCTTCTGAACTATGAATACTTCTAGTCATTTGACTGAAAGTTTTAGCTGTGACAAGAACATGGGGTCAGAGAAGATGTTTCCTTGTTATGGATGACCATCAGATTGGGACTTCTGTACTACCACAAAAATCTCAGTGTTTTAGTTTTTGCCCAGACGGCTAAATTCTTCCATTTAAAGCAACCAAATGTTTTAAAAAACAAAAACTTCACAGTTCAGTATCCGATGCTTCATTAATGACTTTAGAGTTCTTCCACAGAGCAAAATATTTGTTTGCAGGGGAACAGGGTTCAGCATGTTGAGAATTAAAGGATGAGCATAGATACTTTACAACTAAGCGTCAGTATATACCCATGATTGTGCCAGATTTAGTATCATTAGAAAGTGTAACTATAAAAGACCACCTACTAGCTGTGAAAGGTGGTGTGTGAAAGAAAGGAAGAAATGGAAATTGGGAGGGTCCTTAAAACCAATGTTTTGAAGCTATAAAAACATGCTGAGAGAAAACAGACTTTTGTCTGCAGTGAAGAGAGCTCAGGAATAGCCTATATTTTCCAGTCAGGGGACAGGTAGTAGAATCACTATGTAGCACCTTGGTTGGCCAGTGGCAAAGGCTCTACTCATGACCACTGTCCCACTGTCCAAGAGGTGAGATGCTGAAATCTGACTGATGGAGAAGGCAAGAACATTGGGAGAGTATTTATATATGACAATAGGAAAAACTCACAGTAAACCGCCAAAACAAGCCTGCAGTTTTCCACTGGTCTTGTTCATCTGCAGATTTTGCACCTAGTGGATTAGAAGTTTAAATACTGACTAAATTAAAAATTGAATTTTTTTTTTTTTTAGTACAAGCTATGTATCTGGATATCATAAATCAGCATCTAATACTTTTTCTAATATGCTTGATTATAAGTTAAAAATTGAGGGGAAAAAAGAAAGAGACACAGACAGACAGAACAAGCATGCACAATAGAGGTGCATTATATGGAGTTGTCAGTGTTCGACATCCTTGAATGTTTTAACCATTTCCCTCGGTGGTATATATTATTCCATCAAAAAGGATAAGTACTGTAATGGTGCTTTAACAGGTCAGTCACTGAATTTAGTTGGTTTGAAATGCATGGACTCAATTAGCTGTTTGATAGGTTCTTTTCTTAGGGCAGAAATGATTGTATTTAATAAAACTGTGGAAATTAATGCTAATGATGCCAGTGGCAGGATAAACACAGCTTATGTCAATGTAAACTTACCGATTTCTGCTTCTGCTTAGCTACAGCAGCATGGAAAAGAAACAAAGAATAACAAAGCATGCATGTTATTGGCTTGTCAAAGGACGCAGACAGTCAAACAGGACTAGAAATGTGACGCAGTGCAGTTGAGCAGGTGGACAGATGGGAGCTTGGAAGTTCATGTTACCTTCTTAAAGAAGGGCATTCTTTTCTCTTTGGAGTGGGGTGACGTTACACTGTTTGCACTGGGTTTAGGGGAGCGGTGATTTGCTGGAATATCATTTTCTTCTGCATCTAAGCCAGTAGCATCTATGTCTATAGCTACATACAGACAAACAATTCAAAAATCATCAGGGGGACAGGAGAGGAAAAACAGGTTATAAAGAAAATAAAATGAAATAAAACAAAACCAACTATCATACAAGATCTATCATGAGTATGCAACATGGCACATCAACAAGGTAAAATTTAAAGGCAAAGCACATTAGTGCAATCGTAATCAAATCTAACAACACAGAAATATTCTCTCACAATAGGTGTTTGCTTGGACAAATCAGTTTTACGTGACATCTTTTCAATAACGTATTTTGAGAACAATTTTTAATTAGTTGTTTCAAATATAATGTTCATCTTTTCTGGGTCAACTGTATAAGAGATTAGGATGTACAGAATATTTCACTTAACTTCTTACAATGTCTTAAACCCAACTTTTAGGTAATAAGCAATTTCATTGGAAAGTTTTGTAACAATGTGGCTCAGATTTCCCTTTTTGCTTCATTTTACGTGAAAATAAGGGCAATGAGAAAAGGTTCATTAAAAATGCAAGAGGCATTTGAAAGAAACAGAGTACACAAAACTCTAGAACCAGCCAACATGAAGGAATCATATGGCAAGTAAATGATTCAGGAGGGTTTTGGGATAGACAGAATTAAAATGATTTCAAGATGATATGTGTACCCTTCGCTGAAGACCTAACTGAAGTCTCATTGTAGAATACTGTATCTAATGACATCCAAATAAAATTAGTCTGAAAAAATGACATAACAAGATGCTTGCTGACTGATATCCAGCCACTGGGTTCCACACAAGAGGCAGAGTAGATGTGTGACAAGCATCCCAAGCAGATATGCCACTCGTGTCTTTGTCTGTAAAACAAGGGTTTTAGGCTTGTTGCTCAATGTGCTTTCACCTTTGAAATCTTTTGAGCTGAAAATAGAGCACTTGAAAATTAAGTTTTAAGCGGAAAAAGAAGATTTGTCATCTCATTTCACAGTTTATAACATCTGTCCACATGCATTTATTACAGAATTTCATCTCCCGTGGAATCAGAGCTGGAAAGCATTCTAATGATCAACTTTAACTCTCTTATTTTAACATGTAGAAGATGAATTCTTAGCAGTTAAGGGATGTGTTCTTGCCAAACAATTGAGGAGTCAGAGGTCTCCTGTCCCTGTGCCTGCTTATCCTTCCCTCTACCATGCTGACGCTCCAGCTGGGGTCCATTCTCAGTCCCCTCGTACCCTTTGAGTTCCCTTTGCTTTCCAAATGGGGCTGTGTTTGACTTAGGAACAATTCCTAGGGTCAGGGTATCACAAAGCTGTGCTCACTAGGGAATAATTCTATGGTTTAGATTCAGTCAAGTAGAAGAAAAGAAATTTTACTTACCATAGGAAAGCTTCATATTATACATATTAGCTCTCTAACCAAAACCACAGCAAATTCAGATTTAAGGAACAAATGACCATTTTGAAATAACAGGCAGCTTGGTATTGAAATCCTGTTACTATTCCCCTGTGATATACAAGTTGAATTGGTACTCACAGTAGTGACTTCTAACCTTGTTATTGATGGAAGATCATCTGACAAGCATCACCTTATTTTTCAATTTTGAAATTATTATGGATATTAGATGATTCAGCCTTTTGAAAACTAGGCTCTCTTTTTTAATTGTTCCTTTTCCTATGATTAGGTAGAAAACCTGTCAGGGAGCAAATACCTGGCACTGTCTGCATAATATTGCAAATACCAGCTATTGTTTGCATAATAGATGAGGTACGATTTTCCCTCAAGTGAAGGTAATCACGGACTGAATTAATTCCAGATATTCAGTTAGACTTACCTAGTAAATATGCCTTCCTCTTTGTTCCATCTCTATGCATATTGATGACCTAAAAGGTTCAGTACATGATGTGTGGCTCATTCACTAGAAGATGTGCCCATGGATCTGGTACAATAGTGCATTTTAGCGCTTAAGGCATTGTACTGCTAACCAGAAGGCTGGCAATTCAAACTCACCAGCCACTCCTCAGAAGAAAGACTGGCAATCTACTTCTGTAGAGATATCTCCTTGGAAACCCAAGGAGGGGTCGCTATGAGTTGGAATCGACTTGATGGCACTGAGTTTGTTTTTTGTTGTTTGTTTGTTTTATAGCAAACTCTGCTCACATAAGACAGCTTTGTTACTTTTTTTTTTTTTTTAATTGTGATTTGGGTGAAAGTTTACAGTGAAAATTCACTTTCCATCCAACAGTTCACACACACTTTGTCTCATGACATTGACTACAATTTCCCACAATGCAACAGCTCCCCCCTTCCACTTCCTCCCCATAGTTACCACTTCCCTATGTCATTCCCTTCATACACTCCTGCCCCCTGAGCTGTCTCACTGTGCATACACAGTTCTTCTATTCTTCCATGATTGTTCTCTCCAAGGAGTTGATCTACCTAGTGTAAATATTCACCTCATATGCCTGTCTTTTGTTTGGCTGGAAGCCACAGGAGTGGGTTCAATTCCAGACCAGAAGGGCAGCTAGGGGCCATAGTCTTAGTGGTTCCATCAGGCTCTATCAGACCAGCAAACCTGGTCCCTTTTTTTCCCAAATGATTTTGAGTTTTGTTCCACATTATTCTCCCACTCTATCCAGGATCTACATAGATCACCCTCTGAGTGGTTGACAGTGGTAGCCGGGCACCATCGTGAGTCACCAAAGTCGCCTCGTTGGCAGCTGATTTTTTTAGCTGGATGTCAGAGTCAACAGAACCCTGTGCTGGCAAAGTTAATGAATTGCATTTCTATTATCTGTCCATTGAATCAAGCTTGCTGTCATTGTTGGATGTATTTTTAAATTTTTTTTTTTTTTTTTCCCAAAGAGTGGAAACAAATCAAAAGTTCAGCTATGACACTACACAGATGTTTGGCTACTCACATACACATGTAGCCTCAGTCAGGTTTGAAATTTACCTGGATTTGGATACACAGGCTCTATATCCCAAATAGGGAACTTCCCAATTTTTTAGTTTTGACTTCAATACAATGAATATTTTGGTTAGCTTAAGTCTAGATTCTAGCATCTAGATTCATTGTGAAACACAGAGAATGCTAAAATATTTGGATACTTTCAGAATACCTTTAAAAAACTCTAAGGCAGTTGAGCATTTCAACTCTTCAAACTTCTATAGAGTTACTTAGATGGAGATGGCTCTCCTTATACAGAAAGATTACTCTCTCTTTTTTAAATTTCATATTTGTATTTGCATACCTTGGTAAATATTAGTATTTACCTGAAAAAATATGTTTATACATATTTGACAATAGTTTTTTTCATTTTTCCTCACTAGCATGCATGCCTTTTTTTTTTTTAAGAATTGTTGGACGTTTCTTTAAAACTTTCATTTTAGTTTAATCATAGACAATTGAGTCAAGTTGAATGGTGGAGTTCAGAGGAAACATGTATGTGCACATGTGTGTACAGGCTGGCTGCACTTGTGCAACTAACCACGACTGCCCCATTACACCGAGGTGAAGTGGAACTTTCCACAAATTTTCGAAAACATTCATGTGTATTTGTTTTAGGAAGGTAATTTATTTTCTTAAATCTAGTAGCAAGTAAGAGGAATTGTAGATGGGGCCTATGGGAAACAGTAAGATGAAAATTACCATTGCAAACCAATCCAAATTTGATCGATTACAGTTTTCCCATAGGGATGGGTGGGAAACCTCTCTATAGAATTTTCTCCACTTTTCCTTTAGATCAGTTGAACTACAGATATTAAAATTACAGTCGGGTCCTGGTAAGGCAATTATAAATTTAGTAGCTGGTTGTATTTTCAAATCCCCTCAGTCACAAATTTTTCTATTTTTTCCTAATCTTTGTATTCAGAAAGGTTATTTCAAAGTTTTGGATCATATAAAACTTTAGCTATCCATTGCACATTCTGTTTTAAGCAAGTTAATTGAACTCTATATTTAGTTATGACAAACACGTGGCTACAAAAATAAAATATTATTTTACAAATACATTAATGTATTCTTCAAAATGCATGCAACTTCTTTCCCTATTGCCAAGTGACTAGAAGGGTACAGTGTGGCTAGAGAGAACAGAGAACTTGTCCCGGTCTACAGAAGTTGGAGCTGCATCAATTAGGCTGTGACTCTTAGCACAGAGTGATACAGCACTTATCCTTTTCAGGAGCCCAGTGAGGATCCTCAGGAGTCTCTGAAACAGTCTTTAAGATATATAGAAAATGTACAAGGTTTATATATTAATGTGTGGAATTTAAAAAAGAAATTGAGATGGAGCAGGGATAAGGCTCTTTGCCTTATGCATTCAGGGGATACCTACTTCCCAGTGATAAAGAAAAAAAAAATAAGCTTCATATAATAGTCAAAAGGCTTCAATTTTCACTTTATACACAGTGTTTTATTTAACTTTGGACAGCTTAGATTTACTGCAAGTTTTAAGTACAGGCAGTCCCTGGGGTTATAAATGTTTTACTTAGCAACAATTCCTAATTGTCCTTTAATGTTATGTAAATTTGCCCTACCTTTTGAGTAAGAGCACCCTAAAATTAACTTATGGCTCGCAACATGAGTTGGTGGTTATGCTAAGACCTGAGGCCAAAAACTCCATTTGGAATCAAGTAAGTTCTGTATCAAGAAATGCAGCCTGTCATTTCTGTGACTCTCCACTGTACCCTGAGAAAATTACTTGGTAAACAATTTTAGGGAAGAATGTAATTGTGTTTGCTTAAGAGTTTTACTTGCTTAAGAATGTTCAGAAAACCGTGTCCAAAACAATTCTGAGAACAGATGCTTACTCAAGATAAACTTTAAAATTACACGTTTCTCCTGCAGTCACACAAGGAGGGTCTCATGTTTGGTTCAAGGCCAGATGTATCCTTTTTTTATAACCATTACCTAAATGTCAACCAATCACTGAATTTTTATTGAAGTCCCTTATTATTTCTTACAAAAACTTCCTGAACTTTTTCCTCCTTGGATCACTGAGTCCAGAATCCTCCACACCTTGTGATTCCCAATGTGCAGATTGCTTTTTTCTATTCCTTCCATAAGACTCATTGCTTTAATTTCAACAAAAACTCCAGTTTGCTCTTTTGACACTTTGAAATGATTGAACCAGCCCCTGCTTGCAACAAATTCTTCATCACAATCAACTTTTGCCTTACACATGCAGCTTTCAAGTCCTTGAAAAGGCTTCAAACCTTTTCTTGTACTAAAAAACCAAAAACCAAACTCACTGCCATTGAGTTGATTCTGACTCATAGCTACCTCCATTGAGTTTCTGAGGCAGTAAATCTTTACCGAAGTAGACTGTGCCATCTTCCTTCTGCAGAGAGGCTGGTAGGTTTAAACCGCCAACCTTCTAGTTAGCAGTCAAATGCCTTAGGCACTGTGATAGTTAAGGTTGTTGTCAACTTGGCTGGGCCTGGTAGAGTGGCTGGGCAGCTGGATGTAGTTATTGGCAATCAATCAATTCCATGGTTGAATCTACTGGAGCAGCTGAGTAGCTGCTTTAGGGATGTGCTCTGTTTTCAGTATATAAGCAGCAGCTTTCAGGGAGGTATCCAGCTTTTTGGCACGTTTGAACCCTACATGTAGCCAAGTCTTCATTCAGTCGCCTGCCGTGCTCTGCCAAACTTGGGACTTTCAATGGACTTGAATTAATGGCATAGGTTTGGTAACATTGGGACTGTGCCTTTTTACTTGTTGACCTTGGGTTTGTCAGCCTTAGCAACCAGTAGCTGCCTGAGTGAAGAAAGCCCCCAGCTTCAGTGGGCCAGAAGCAAGAGGCAGAGCTGAAGTCCAAGGTCGAGGGGTTTTCACCCAGCCCCTAGAACTAGGCACTTTGAACTTGGACTTTTAGACTCCAAAACTGTAAGAGGATAAATTCCTGTTTGTTCAAGCCATCCCTTTTGTGGTATATTCTGTTAGAGCGGCACTAGGTGACCAAAACAGACACTGTGCCACCCAAAGTAAGACAAAATAGTACCATATGCATCTGGTTGGGCTTACATACAAATTTTTAAAGACACAGGAACAGATTTTGTTTGTAACCCGGGGACTGCTTATACATGATCTTTGTAATTAATACTCATTAAAACTATTTATTTGTATACTTATCTTTCACGACTTACAAAGTCCACTATTTTTACTAAGAAGCCCTTGATTGGTCTCTAAAAGCAGCCAATATTCAGGAATGAGATGTGATGTTTAATAATTGAGGATTCCTGTTCTTAACACACACCAGTCACAGTGCAAATCAGTTTCTGAATTTCTCTATAGATACACTTGTTGTTGTTGTTACGTGCCGTCGAGTCAGCCCTGACTCATAGCGACCCCTCCTTGGGTTTCCGAGGCAGTATCACTACGGAAGTAGGATTGCCCAACCTTCCTTCGGAGGAGTGGCTGATGGGTTTGAACTATCCATTGTTATTGTTTTTTAACTTCTTCCCATTTCTTTCTTCTTATAAATCACATACAGAATAATTTTTCTCAGATGCTTCACAGATCCATCTTTATAATCTTACTCTGACTTCCAATTTCTTTAATCTTACTCTGACTTCCAATTTCTTAGCAAAATAAGATACTGATCACTGGCTTTCACACAATCCACCCAACTGGACTCATTCTATTTATATAAAGCTACAAATCCTACACACAATGATAGGGTTGTAAGACTTAACAACAAATAAAACTTAGTTAAATTTGAATATTAGATAAACAAAAAAAATTTTTTTTGATATAAGTATGTCCTATAACTTTTTTTTTCAGTGTAAGTATATCCCACACAATGTTTACTTGGATTACAATGTGTTTTCATTATTTATTTTGAATTAAGATTTAATTGAGTATTTTTTATTTTTTAGCTAGCCACTCTAAGGATGAACCTAATGCTTTGGAAAGAAAACATTCTCTTTTTATTTAACATTTAAAATCTCTATCTCACATTGCACTTTAGTTATGGGGGGGGCATTCATCCATTTACTGTCCATGACAATTTGTTGGGTATCAGGGAGGGCAAAAGGAATAAACAGTTAAATATGTTCATCACTTTGACCATCTATAGCAATTTAAAGTGAACACATTGACATACTTTCTTTTTTACAAGGCCAGAGAAAATTTTCCCCAAATTATTCCTAATACCACGTGGGCAATCTTTATTCTGATCCCTTTTAACATTTATAGGGTAACATCTCAATACCATGATTCAATGCGTGTAAATTCATATATAAAACTAAGGAAGACCAAAGCATAAAATGCAGTATGTTCAGCACTTATCACCTACTTACCAGATGATGGAGGTGTAGATTTTCTGGAACTAGGTACTATGTCACCCAAACTGGATAATGAATTTCCTCCTGATTTACTAGAGTAAAGCAAAAATTTACATTAAACCTGACACTGATTTTAGATCTTAAAACATTTCTATTGCCAAGTATGACTATTCATTGTGTCTTTATTGAACTTTACAAATTTTGTCTTTCCAAATAGTAATTTCCCAGTGGAGATTCCTGGAGTATTTGAAATGGCCACGCGATGGTCTTAGTTTTCAAATTTCAGGTTTAATTTTAAAAGGTCTTGAGAGAATGGAAGGGAACTAGGGTAATTCTTGCAGCCATCAAATTCCCAGCCAGGGTAACTTATGGCTAAACATCACAGATCTCCTTTCCTTTTTACTTTGTAGGTCCTCAGAGGCAATGTATACAGCTTTAAGGCTAACCCCAAAACTGAATATTTCCTTCTTGTTTGGTTGCTGTACCTCTGCATTAGCTTGATTTTTTTTTTTTTTTTAAATACATAGATATTTTTTTATTTTTAGAGTTAGGAATAAAAGCAGAAGCCCTGGTGGTGCAAAGGCTAAGTAAGCACTTGACTGTTGACCAAAAGGTTGGCTGTTCAAAACCATGCAGTGGCTCTGTGGGAGAAAGACCTGGTGATTTGCTCTCATAAAGATTACAATCAAAATATTATCTGAATAGTAACACTCACTGCAAATACTCCAAATGTTCAGGGTGCAGATTTACCCTTAAATTTTAATGCTATAAAAATACCAAGTTAGTGAATTGCACCCCACTTCTATTGCCTTTGATTTCTGCCAATGTTTATAATGTGCATATCAGAGATTTTAAATAACAAAGCATAAGGCTGCAAAGTTCTGGTTATGCTGAAGACAAATGTAAAAACATTGGCAGGTAAACAATATTTTCACATATTTAAGGATAAAGTTTGGGTAAAGAGACAGAACAAATAATATCAAGAAATCAAAGGAAAAAAGGAAATGATATAAGAAAAGGTAACTCAATTCCTTAGAATAATTTGAGTCCACAATTATAGCCTTTTAAGAAAAAAAAATGCAATATCAAAATGAATATATGTCACATAATGCATAATAGCAAATGTCAATACTAATAAGTACTGTTTCTGTGTTTGCCCTGTGCTACATGATTTGCAGATTAGGTTGCTAGCCCATCTGTGGTTAGTTTATGGTTAGACTGGTTGGTTTTTAATCCTCATTCTACCACTTACCAGTTGTGTGACCTTGGTCAAGTTCTTTAACTTCTCTTAGACCATTTCCTCTGTGAAGTGGTGGTTATACTACTTTATAAAGTTCAAGTGGGCACTAATACTGGATCAGAGATAGGAGGCAGAGGAAAATGTGTTTCCTTAACAGTTCTGGCAAAGATTTATACTCCCTTCGTACTCCCTTTAGGGGTAGTTTTCATTTCTCAATTTGTATATGAAGAAGCAGAAAAAGATATACAAGTCTAACTCTGTAAAAATCCATCACAAATTTTCCAAAATGCATTCTATAGAATACCATTCCTATGATATGAAGCAAGAAAAGCTTTTGATAAAATTATTTCAATAAACACATGAAAATTATCTTCATCCTTCCACCCACAATCACAATGCATATTAACATATAAAAGGCTCTGAAAAAGCCTAAGATAGTACCGATCCTGAACTTATTAGACCATAAGACCCTTTTCTCAAATGGATCAAGTGGAAAACTATGACAAATGCTAAATAATCTTTAACAAATCTAGAAACATAATGCCCCCAGCTGACATAACTTCCAAATCTTGACAAACAATATCCTACCTGATATAGCAGTGCCTATGCACCATGTCTATTGTCCCTGAAATCCTTGAAAATGAAATTTTCCACAACAAAGCTAGCACATTAGAGACTGAAAGAGTATTACTAGAACTTCAACTTTCTACAGGTAAAATGCTCATGCTTTGTTTATCTACATACCACTTCTTTTACATGACTAAATGCAACTCACAAGCTGATGGCCCTGAATAACCTGGGATTAATAAAAGTCAAATACGAGACAGAAGTCTCAAAATATGGAAGAATCCATGTGAAGCAAAAGATCTCAACAGTTGTAGAATGCTAGTTAATGAAGATAGATGTTCCAACCAAAAAGCATTCTATTTCACTCATTTGCTGACACTTGAAAAACACTTTTGCTAACACTATATCATCACTGACTATGGTAGTTAAACTTGTGTGTCAACTTGGCTGGGCCTGGTTGAGTGGCTGGGCAGCTGGTGGTAGTTATTCCCCATGATGAAACTGGCAATCAACTCCATGGTGGGATCTACCACAGCAGCTGAGTAGCTGCCTTTGGGATGTGGTCTGCTTCCTATATATAAGGAGAAGCCTTGGGGATAGTTTCTCACTTATTGCACACTTGGACCCTGCATGTAGCTGTGTCATTGTTCAGCAGCCTGCCATACTCTGCCAACCTTGGGACTTACAATGGACTTAAATTAATGGCCTGCTGTGTGATTTGGTAACATTGGTCCTGTGCCTTTTTACTTGTCAACCTTGGGTTTGTCAGTCTCAGCAGCCAACAGCTGTGTGAGTAAGGAAAACCCTCTCGCTCCAGTGGACTGGGAGCAGGAGGCAGAGCTGAACCCCAAGGTAGAGGGGCTTTCACCCAGCCCCTAGAGCCCAGCACTCTGAACTTGGACTTAAAGCCTCCAAACTGTAAGAGAATAAACTCCTATTTGTTAAGGCCATCCATTTATGGTATATTCTTGTCAGAGCAGCACTAGGTAACCAGAACACTGACAAAGGAATTTATATCATTTGATAAACAGTAAATTAAAAATAAAACAAACAAACAAACAAAAAAACCCAGAAGGCTAAACACTCATTAAAGAAAAGACTTGCCCATAGCACATCCTTTCACAAAGGGAGAAGCATACCATATTCATGGATTTGTCTGCAAAAAGTTCAATTTAAAATTCACTACATGTATGAGTTGGAGTTTCTGGGTATACAAATGGTTAACAAGCTTGCTTGTATCTGAAAAGCTAGCAGTTTGAGTCTACCCAGAGGAGTTTTGGAAGACAGGCCTGGCAATCTATTTCCAAAGGATTGGCCACTGAAAACACTATGGAGCACAGTTCTACTCTAAAACACATGTGGTTACTGTAAGTTGGAATGGACTCCACAGCAACTGGTACATGTATGAGCAGTCCTTCTTCTGATTCTTTTAATGTGAAACAACTTCAAGAATCCTAGGATAGATTATTCAGCCCCAGCCTATTACATAACTTATCCAATTGCTATTTCCAAAGGCAATTTTAACTTGTTTCATATTTAAGTTTCTTTTTAAGTGTTTGACAGTGGGTAGAACAAAAAAATGAGTTTCTTGGGTGAAAATGACACTAACAGATGACAAAGCTGTTATCCAATTATATATTTATATTGTTATATATATTATATTGTTAGCCAATTATATTTTAGGCTGTCATCTCTATAATGTTTTCATGCCATTCCAGGAAGCTCAGAGACTAGGACTCATCAACGCAGCTGCTCACAGTATTTTCAATAAGAAACAAGGACTTCAGGATCTCCTCTGCGCTCCTGAATTTAACACTCTATGACCTTGTCGTTAAGTGCCTTTGAGTTAATTTTTGATTCACAGTAACCCTACGTGTTAAAGGAGCAGAACTACCCCTGTGGTGTTCTAGGGTGAAATCTTTACAGAAGCAGGTCTTCCTCTGGTGGAGCTGTTGGGTGGGTTCAAACCAGAAACCTTTACTTAGCAGCTGAGCACTTAATCATTGCACCACCAGGGCTCCTTCTATGCCCTTACGTGTTTCCATTGATGATAATAATTAACCTGTTTCCCAAAGAGGATGCAAATCAGATTCTGGAATGGTGTTTTTAAAAGCAGGATATGTGATGCTATAAATAAACTGTATCAGAATTTTACTTTTAAGAATATGATAAAAATTAAAGAATATAGCAAAATACAGTATATGAATGATGGCATAATTGGAATTTTTACTTACAACACTTGATATTTTTCTCATACCTGGAGTAAAATTTCCCTTGTTTGGCTCTCTGTTCATGCTGTAGCCTCATGTTTTCTAGTTTGACTGGGCTTGGAATGAATCCAATTTCACAGCCTTCTTTAACCAATCGCCCTATCCACCAGTCATTGTTAAATTTCTGGACACAAAATCAAGATTACAGAAATCAGTATACCGAACTTCAAATCTGAAGAATAATCCTTCTTTATACTGTTTTTCTTCCACATGACCTATTTTCAGTGGAGAGAAATATTATGATAATCATAATCAGTTATGTCTGAAGTACCACAATTCAAGAAACCTTGCAGTTGATAGGTTAACATACAAGAATGAACTATTTTTGGGTGCTCAGCAATCAATTGCAGGCTTTACTCTTCCTCTCCTTCTTCATGTTGCCTTACTTAGTACCAGCTCAAGCCCCATTTCAACTGTTGCTGTCACCCTTAGTAGGATAAGCTCTCCTTGTTCCAAGATTAATAGCTGTTCCTAACATGAGACAATTGGAAACCAGGAAGCGTTGCAGAGCTCCTTCTCCTATACAATCAGATTAATTAGAAGTAGTAAGAATCAGAGATAAATATTGAAATTTCTGTGAAGTATTTTGTGTCAGAACAAATTTACCTCTGTGCAAATAGTTTTATAATCATCTTGACATAGTCTGTATAGATAATTTCTCTAATTACATTGATTTTCACAATTTATCTCTTGTGAAAAGACTGTTTATCCCAAATCTATATGACTTGATTTTCTGCAAGTGAATACTATTTTTCAAGTATGTTCTTAAATACTTCATAGCACCATTTCCATTCTGTTTTTCTTTTCTCTCCATGGGAGAAAGAGATCCTTCTCTAAGCATCAGTCATTAGAGGTGGCAGACTCTGCTTTACGTAATTCCTAATTGTAAAGTGAGATTCTAGGCAGGCCATCATTTTGAAAACCTTTCCTGTCTTTCCTTTCTAACAAACCTTTTATATCTTGTCATGGATTGAATTCTATCCCCCAAAATATATGTCAAGTAGACCACGATTCCTAGTATTGTGTAGTCATACTCTATTTTGTGATCTGATTTGATTATCCTTCATTTTCTGATATGAATTGTAAATCCCAACCTTTAAATGTTAATGAGGCAGGATTAGGGTGGGTTATATCTTGAGTCACAGCCTTGAAACAGGGCATGACTCAAGTCTCACTCTTAGTCTAGTACACAAGTCACATCCTTACTCATCACTACCTTTATTCAAGTCACACTATTGCTAGAGTCACACCTATTACCTTGTAAGAGACAAAAGGAGAGAGGAGTAAGCAGAGAGCAGGGGCCTGACTACCACCAAGAAAGAAGAGCCAAGAGCAGAGTATGTTCTTTGGACCTAGGGTTCCTGTATTGAGAACCTCCTAGACCCCAGGGATGACTGATACCAAGACACATGCAGATCTCTAAGGAATGCCAGCCCCACAGATATTGAAAGGAGACAAATATCCTCCCTCAGAGGTGATACAGAGAGAAAAGCTTGCTCTAGAGCTGGTGCCCTGAATTCAGACTTCTAGCCACCTAACCTGTGATGGCAGTGAGTTGGTTTTTTTTTTTTTTTTTTTCAGTAACCTGTGAGATAAAAACTTTGTGTTTGTGAAAGCCATCCGGTTGTGGTATTTCTGTTGTAGCAGCACTAGATAATTAAGACACAGCTCTTTCCAAAAGTTAATGAAATGTTAGGCTCTAAATTTCTTGTTGTTGATGTTATGTGCCATCGAGTCATACTTGACTCATAGCGACCCCTCCTCGGGTTTCCCAAGTGGTATCACTACGGAAGTAGATTGCCCAATCTTCCTTCTGAGGAATGGCTGGTGGGTCTTTTAACTGGCAGTCATCACAGACTGTGCTTATGGTCTTCAGTGCAGGGACCAGTTAAATTTACATATGCTCCCTGTACATGTCACCCCCTAGATGGAAGTGTTCCAACTGAAAATTCCTTCAGGTCCAAGAAAACCTCATACTCACACACTGAGAACATTATGTAAGAGGGATTTCTGGTCATTTAATCCAGTGTTATGCACAGCAGGCATCTGATAAATGTTAACTCACAAGAAACCTTAATTAAGGGTGAATTTTTCCAATTTACAGGTTGACTCATTGTTAACTGAAAGGTGGAGATTTCTGGCGTGAAGGAAAAGGAATTTTCCCCTATATCCCTTTCTGGCCTTGTTTACTCCAATTCCTACCAGTACCCTCTCTGATGATTTGAGTTTAGAAGTTGTCAGCAAAGAGGGGAGATCGTGAATTCTAGATACATTATTAAACCCATCCCACATGGGTAAACTTCAGACATGAAAAAAAAAAAAAAACAGAAATAGTCAAGGTGAAACATTAACAAAAAAATCACAAGTTAAGCATAAAAAAGGATCATCTAGTTTAGTAGTTCCCAATTTCTGGGCCACAGAACCCAGGGGAATCTTGAAGTTATTGCAAGAGGCCTGTGGCTTCCTTTTGAGTTTAAAGAGGTATATTTATATTAGAATAGGTTGAGAGCCACTGATTAAGACTGTATGTTGTATAACTGCAACTATACACAATGCTACTTCACAGCAATGAGAAATACTAAAAGATGCTTCAAGGGGAAAGGTCATGTAGATATAAACTGAAATTATTTTCCTTACTTCCTTAACATGCAGAAAATCTTTTGCTTCAAATGAAATGGCCATGCCTGGCACTGGAACATCATCTTCGTGGGCTGCGCTGTAGCTGACATTTGTTCGAACTGCAAATGCAACGGGCTTTGTCTAAGGAGGGAAAAAAGAAGGGAAAAAGAGTGAGAAAAGAAACAACAGTGTAGCCTTTTTTCCCCCTCAAAATATAAAGATACACTGAGTATGTGTTAAAATGGTTGCTTCTCTCCACATTGGTTCTTTATCACAAAACAGCTTTATTAGCATTCACAACACATTAACTCTTCCAGCTCTCAGCTACATATGACACATTTCCTTACTAGAAACATGCCATTGTTCTCTTTGAAAGCACTACAAGTAATGAAGGTAAAGATAAACTACTGAAATAAATGTTTACAGCACCACAGCCTGTGTCGTTGTTGTTGTTGTTATGTGCCGTCGAGTCACACCCGACTCATAGTGACCCCTCCTTGGGTTTCCGAGGCAGTATCATTACGGAAGTAGATTGCCCCATCTTCCTTCCAAGGAATGGCTGATGGGTTTGAACCACCAGCCCTCTGGTTAGCAGTCAAGTGCCTTAGCCACTAACTGGAAATCAGAAAACTCAAACTGAATAAAATGTCCAGTTCTTTTGTTTCTGTGGATAAGACTTAGTACCCACTACCTAGCCCTAAACATGCACTTTCATTAACAATTAGTGACATTAATTTCAAATGATACAATGTTTTGGAAGACAAAAAAGAGCCAGGAAATATATCTTATGAAAGCAATGACTTTTTATTCTGTTATTTTTCCTCCTTGAGTTCACTCAGCCACAAAACATGGTAACACTAATTAAAAGGTCCTTCATAATTTGATGCTTTACAAAACCACAGATAAGCATTTTTGTCCTCTATCCAGGCAATACCTATTTATCTGGAAAGTGAAAAAAACAGGCAAGCCACCAAACAGAAAAAAAAAAAAAGAGGAGGTATTATTCTAACCAGTTTCCTGTTTCTTTCATATTACAGACAAGCAGATTTCTTTGGAGCAGTTTCTCTTCACTCAATGAGCTATTCCCGCCGACTTGTCAGGGAGGACAAAGGAATTGGAATAGAAAGAGTCTGCACTCATTTCCCAAATTCCCACAGTTAATCCTCACTACCTGACTGCTTTCTAAAAGCCTCAGGTTACTCAGATTTACCCAATATTTGTTGATGGGGAGAGGAGGACAAAGATTGGGATATAGGCACAGTATATGTGAAGCTAGAATTAAGGTGAAACAGATTCCTGGTATCCATTACAAAGTCTAATCATACAGGTGTCACTGGAAACATGGAAACTTTGAAAGGAAATGGAAAATTAAAAAAAAAAAAAGAAGAGATAAAATTTGTAAATAGACATTGGTAATGTTCACACTACATGAACACAATGTCATAAAATGTTGAAATGGCAAATGTTTTATTTACCACATTATAAAAAGGTAGAGATAAAAACTGTTCATAGCTCCATTACAGAAATACAACCATTGATAGCATGAGGATTTTTCTTTTTTTTCTTGGATTTTTTTTTCCCATATATGATTTTTATTCCCATTGCTGAAATCGCAGTAAATGTGATTTTATTCAGTTTTCTCAGTAATATAGTATTTTTGTGATAACATGCTCTTTTTATCCATAATTTAAAAAATTATTTCAACCATTGATCATTGCTTGATATTCAGATTTACGATTTATTCACTATGATATATTTTCTGCTTTGGAAGTCTTTGTGCCAAAGCCTGTTTCTATTTAGAATTCTTTCGTACAACATGAGAAAGTGATGATTTATCAAGGCCTTTTAAAGCCTATTCTAAACTACTATCCAGATGAGCTGTTATCTTCTTTCCATAATACAACTACTAGTACTATATGATGATACCCTTTCCAATTAGATGTAGTCTTAACCAGACTAAATTTTGCTGCTAGAATAACATTTCCCTGAGTAGTTCCATCTATTTTTCAGGAGTGTTTCTAATCACTAGAATATAAGTCTAAGATTATTATTGATTGATTGATTTCTTTGGCCAGCAAGATGTTTAATTTCTTTCAGTGTCTTTCTTTTATTCCTTGGTGAAGACAGAAAATTTAAGTGTGACATGTATCTTTTCTTTAGTGGACTACATGAATTTCAAATATGCAACTCTATAGAGGATCCCATAAAAAAAAAAACCTCATGTCTTTTACACACTAATCACTTTTTCAAATACTTGAATAACAGAAAGAGGGGGCAATGAATAAAAGAAAATCAAAAGTGTGATATAATTCTAGGGACCACAGATAATAATATTATGTTCTTAGATTAAGATGCCAATTCAGAATGTATCTCCTTTGTCTCACTTATAACCAACAATCTCATTTGGTGAGGAAGTTTACATGGGAATTGTCTTTACAAACATACAGTTGGGAAAGCAGCAAAACAGAACCCTGTGTACCAATTTATTTCAGAGACCATATGTCTACAATTATAAGGGAGAGCAGTCAAAGCGAGGGTGGGAGAAGGTACAACAAAAATAAGAGAGCTTATCAGTTTTAGATAAAGACCCCAGGATGTTAACCAAAGAGGCCAACTGATAATCTCAGTGTTGATTCCCTGAACTCATTTTGGCTCTATCTAGCTCAAGCAATGGATGCAGAATGAGGAATGCCAGTCTGTCTAGGGAATATTCATGGTCAGCTCTGTGGCCACAGGACTAATGATGTATTAGTTCCATAGAGGCCAGACTGTAGAAACCACACACTACAGTCAGAGATGCATTTAAGGATTATAGCAGGAGTAATTTTTAATTTCTCACAGCCTCTCAGGAGTTACCAGATCTAAGTGTGTTTCAAAATAATTACTATTAATTAGGGGATAAATGAATTAAAAAAAACACTTGTTTATAAAGTAGAACAATGACATTATCATTAATTTGGTACACTGTTGCTGGTTTTCCTCCAAGACAATGATGAATTAATAGTGAAAGTAATAATTTTCATGGATACAACAAAATGCTTATGCTAGTGACAGAATAACTATCGTTAAAAATAAAAATTAAATCCACTCAAATAAGAATAAAATTAAACTTCTGATCATGATTAATACAGTTACTTAAATTTTCATGCATCAATTTCATTTCTTAACACAAATATTCATTTTATTATGCTAAAAAAGTATGCTTTTCCATTTTCCTGATGGAAAACCATCAATAGCTAATAACTTAATAGGAAAATTCGTAACTTATGTTCTAATGTTTCTAACAGATTTGTCTACAGTATTAACTACTCCCAACTTGAAATAGTTTTCAATAAAATTTAAAGAAAAAAATAACAGATTCCTAATATGAGAGACTACAGAAAAGGGATTAAAATCTAATCAGCTTTTTGATCATCTTGTGATAGAAAATAATTTCATAAAAACTATACTCTTCTATAATTTGAAATATCTCATATGGGACTGCATCTTTGAGTCTTATATAGGAAATACTCAGGAACAAGAGAAGGTGATATCCTTTCAGGAAGAAGATCACAATCATCTGGTTTAATCACCACATGGTAATACTTTAGTTCCCAGCTACCCATTTCTGATTAAAATGATGCTCAGTATCATTTTTCTACTTTCAGTGATAACCAGAAATCTTTCCATATCAAAAATCTTAGAAAACATATTACCCATATACAGGCAAAAATCTGCAATATTTGGGTAAGATGGGAGAATAAGCAGACAGACTACAGAGACCCTCTTCAACAAAGAAAAGAGGAACCAATGAACACAGATACAGAAGATAATTCTGGAACCTGAGCTTTGAAAGGAAGGATATAGAAGTAGACTAAACTCCAACTAGTAGAAGAATCTACATGAAAACACCAAAAAAAGGAGACATACAGAGCTGCGGTCTGTCAGCAATCCTGATGGCACAGACAGCTTGGGTACTGCCAAGTGGTGTTAGGACACAAGAATTAACCTAAAAATCAGCCCTACTAGCCAAGGGCTGCATGGAGGACTGCACTGGTGGCTGATGAATAAAAGGGGAAGCAGTGAAGAGGAAGGTGGGCTGAGCTGAGGACTTTTGGCTGTCTGGAGGGCACAGCTATTTTGAATGTTTACAAGCATTTTGAACCATTTTGGATATTTAAAGTGACAGCATTCTCTCATATTCCAGGGACCTAAGAATAGGCTCCATTTGCCAGGAACTACAAGGACATTCCAGACACGAACAACTGGAAAGGTGTGATATTCCCCTTGTTACATATAACCCACACCTTCTTGGTGAATGGAAGTTTGGCCATCCCTTACTCCACCTGCCTGCTGGGCCTGCAGCAACTGTCTGTGTGCTCTGACGGAGCCTGGGTACTCTGGCCTACCTTGCCCTGATTTTTTTTTCCTTTTTAGTTTGTTTATGTCTGTTTAAAATTATTACTATTATTATTATTCTTTTTTTTTTTTTGTTCTTCCTTTTTATTTTATTTTATTCTTCCCTTCCAAGGTTGTAGTTTTCAAGTTTTTCTTTCTTCCCTGTTCCTGGTTCCCATTTTTTTCTTTCTCATGGTTAACCCCATTCCTTTTTTTTTTTTTTTTTCATTTTTTCCCATTTTTTCCCTCATTAATCTCCTACTCTACCTCTTTTCTCTTATTGGCCCCTCCCCCAGATATTATGGATTTTCTTTCTTTCTTTCTTTTTTTTTTGTGATTGTTCCTGTGTGTTTATGAAGTGTGTTTTTGTCCACTTGCTTTTACTTTTTTAATGTGTATTCAGTCATAGTTTTTTTCCAACTGAGTAGCAGACAGCAGCTATGCCCACATGACGCAACCACACACACTTCCTGCAGCTCCATTTACTGAGTGAAAGCCACCACTTCCTTCTCCACAAACTGGCCAATGATAAACAACCACCAGGAAAAGCCTGACTCACCCTTAATTGCTCTTGACAAAGAGTTAACAGAGATATAAATACAATAGTCACAATGTTTTGGAGACAACAGACCATCACAGCCTACACAAAGAAGCAAGATAAAGGGGTAGAAACAAGGGAGCAGGATACAGAGCCAGAACAAATCCCTGAAGCAGCAGCAGGATTGGAACTCCCTGATAAGGAGTTCAAAAGAATTATATTTAGG